TTCTTTAAAAGGTACTGCTATTCTCCATTCGTTACCCGTCTAAAAAACACCTGTCCACACCTTCAAACAGTCATACTCCAGCCTCTACCATGGCCACCCCCAGAGAGCTGTCTAAAGGCAAGAGGGACAACATTGTACACCTGACTGGAATGAGCCAAGGAAAGTAGCTTGAAGAGAAGACATCAACCATTGGAGCAATTATTACCAAATGGAATAAATACAAGACCACTCAACCTGGGGCTCCATACAAGATCTCACCTCGTGCGGAACAAATGGTCTTGTGAACAGTCAAGAAATAGCCCAAAACTACATGGGACAAACTAGTTAATGACCCAAAGAGAGCTGGGCCCACTCATTTAGTAACACACTACATCTTCACACATTAAAACCCTGTAGATCTCTAAAGGTCCCCCTGCTAAAGCCAACACATGTCCAGGCCCAGATCATCTGGATGATCTATAGGAGAACTGACAGAATCTTGTGGTCAGATGAGACCAAAACTGAAGTCTTAGGTATTAATGCCACTTGTGTTTGGAGGGGAAAGAATACCGAGTTGTATCCCGAGAAGTCCACACCCACTATTAAGCACGGGGGTGGAAACATCATGCTTTGGGGCTGCTGATCTGCAAAGGGGACAGGACGACTGGTGCATATTAGGAAAAGGATGAATGGGGCCACGTATCATGAGATTTTGGGCAAAATCTCCTTCCATCAAATGAAACATACCTGGATCATCCATGACAATGATCCCAAACACACCACCTGGGCAATAAAGGAGTGGCCATGTAAAAAGCATTTTATGGTTCTGGAGCAGCCTAGCCAGTCTCCAGAGATCAACCCAATACAGAATCTTTGGAGGGAGTTGAAAGCCCGTGTTGCCTAGTGACTGCACCAAAACATCACAGCTTTAGAGGAGATCTGCGTAGAAGAATGGGCCAAAATAGCAGCTACACTGGTGCAAACCAGGTCAAGAAGCCCTACAGAAAATGGTGACCTCTGTCATTGCGACTAAGATTACATTTAAAAGTACTGAGGCAAACTTTTGCTATTGACCAATTTTTTTCTGTATCATTTTACAAATAAATTCTTTAAAAATCACACAAGGTGATTTCCTGGATTTTCTTTTACATTCTGTCCCTCACAGAGTACCCTACAGACCTCTTGTACAGCTTGCATATCCAGTGGCAACCAAATACTCATTTGCCCAACTGTATTTGGTAAAAAAATATAAAAAAAATGTTTGAAGCTTTTATTTCCTTCTGTGTACTTAAAAGTAGATTCCTTACTCTTGCTGCAAAACTAGCATTACCGATCCAGCTGAAACACGAGCAGTTGATGAATCCGTAAAGAAGGAAAACAAGAACAGAGATGGGACACGTTTGGAAGGAGAATTTAAACTTTTAAGCACCCCGAAGCAACCTGGATTACAATAAAATCTCCAGGACGTGCATCCGGCTCGCCGTGTTGCTCTGCTGGCACGTTAGCGCAGAACCGCGATCGGCAGGCAGATGGATTAAAAAAACAGCTGATGCACAATTTAAATCACGGTTCTGAGGTAATTAACTCTAAAAATTGACCCAGCAGAAAACCTGACACTAGTCTGCACAGATTTAAGTTGGGGATAAGCATCCCTGTTTGCTGCGTGACTGAGAGGTGAGTCACTTAGCGAAGCGAGCCAGCTCTCAGTGGAGGAAATGGCACCACAGGGGGAAACATCCATTTTTCTATCCCCGTGCAGATATTAGCAGATGAGGCTTTCTTCCTGTCTTGCCTCTGCTGACAGACACCTGAAGTTCTGCTGACTAGAAACATACAGGGGCAACCACCACTGGCTAGTCTAGCTCGGGTCAGTGATCCTCCGCTGGAAAAGTTGGCAAACTCTGCAAAAAAAAAAAAAAAAAAAGATAAAAACTCCCTGCTGTTGTGCATTTTTTCAAGTGAATTCTGAGGCAGGGATGAATTGAAAGCACACGATGATGCAGTCATATTTTCCATTGATATCAAAGCCATTTGGCTGGAATTCATCAAATAGTTGAAGCGGTGCACGACAGACAAAACTTACAATAAAAATGGATAAGCAGTCGGAAAAGGTGGATCGTATGAAGCCAGTTGCATCTACTGTAGCTTCAGAGATAAAAACGCATAATTAAAAGGCAATCTTAACCACAGATCATCAGTTCCTACTCCCTCTGATATTCCTCTAAGGGTTGTCTTTAAAATGTCACACTTCCAACCTTCTTCCTGCTCCACATTCTCACAAATACTCCAATATGTTACAGTATTTATCTAAATGTCTGTGGCGATCAGATTTTCTGCTCTGCGGACCAGAACGCCTCATAACTAGCTAGTGAGAATCAGCAGACCTCGTAAAGAGCAACAACATTACCCAGCTCCTCTGGAATGTCAACTCAGAAAGACGCAAAAGACACAAACTCACTACAGATTCAACATCCTCTAATTGTTGCTCCGTCTACCTTAGATCCTCGTTTTATTTCTCACCATCTCAGACATCAATACTGTCCCGGCCTCCCCGCCACGTTCAGCTTCCCTTCGTTGATGGAATTGCTTTGTTTAATCATGCCCTCCTTTATTCAATCGCTGATAATTACAGACACAAATGGAGTCATCAGCATTAATCCAAAGAGGCTAAAATATTGCAAAAGTGGACGCCATTTCATTATTCACATAATCCTGTACGGCAACGAAAACCTGCGTGCACGAAAATGTTACCGGGAGTTTGAAAGCACATGAATGTGTAAAAAATGCTTTTTAAAGTGTTATCCGTTAGTCACGTTAAGGCCAGTTATAACGCGTCCTAAAACATTTGCGATCTCAAAACGATCTTAAACGCTCAGCCATTGCTTTAAATTTTACCTTTCGTGGTTATTCCTGCAAAATTAGGATAAAATTCCAGCCGCAAGCCAATGGTTGGAATTTCCCCAAACCCACTTCCTCTGCTAATAACCACAAAATTCCATGTAAATGACCATAAATGGAAAATTTAGGGTGGTGGTGAAGTTTATTAAACAGCTTTTGCATGATTTTTTTAGTCTAGAGTTGTTCCGAGACAGCACAAACACTTTGTGACTGGTCCCGCTCGGACCAACCATCTGTGCAATCAGACTTAAAGGGGGCAGTATTCAAAACTCAGGTTTTACATTATTTTGTGCTGCCCTGTGGGTCTCAACTTCCTGTTTTCTGTCAGTGTTTGGTTTTAGGAATTACGTGCCTAAAACAAGCCGTTTCTTCTGTCGCCGTTTGTGATGTCACAAACGGCGACAGAAAAATAGAACCAGCTTTTTTGAGCAAGAGAGAGCTGCCACTGGAGAAGCAGCAGCTCTACTCTAAGCCCCTTCCAGATGGAGCTTCTCAGCTTATAGCAGCCTGAGAGGGGAATGGGTGGGCGTGGCCAACTACAGCTTGTTTTTTTAACTCATTCACTGCCATTGACGACTAAAGTCATCATTTTAAATCCAACCGTTCACTGCCAATGACGACTAAAATCGTCATTTTGTCATGACTCCCATCCTTCACCCTCATTTCACCTTCATTCAGCTCACCTGGTCCCTTCACCAAGCTCCTGACAAGCCCCGTTTCCCTAGCAACCACAATACACTCCATTCTTCTCACCTGTTCCTGTCATCAGCTTCATCCACTTCACCTGCTCCTGACTCCTCAGCTCATCTACACACCTGCTTTCCCTGCTATAAAAGAACCATCCACCCATCCAGTCTCTGCCAGATTATTACAGCCCTGCCAGTAATTCTCCAGCGATTCTCCCTGCCTGCTCTCTGCCTCCAGACCTCGTTTTTCTCCTGACCCCTGCCTTGTACTCTGCCTGCCATTGTGACCTTCGCCTGTCCCCGACTCTGACTCCAGCCTCGCCCATCTGGTAACTCTGCTTGAAATAAAGACTTTTTTTATATATTTTTACTATGTTGGCGTCTTCACGGGTCTTCTGAGTTCTGTTCATGACACATTTCCATTTTTTTACAGTGTGGGCGTCGGAACAAGCCCCCGCACCGTGAACAAACATCTCAGCTCTAAAGCCGATCTTCATCCGCATACGTCACACGTCACGTGATCAGGAAGCAGAAAATCCATGTGTTAGGAGATCGATTTGGGCCGCTGCTGTAAAAAAAAAGTGAGGCGCGAACCGGAAAAGCTTCCGCCGATCACAATTCAACAACGGATTATGAAAGAACGGATAACGCTCGAAACGCACGGATTCTTCCTGATGCAAGAGGTGTGTCTCCTCTTTGTTTTGGTTGTTTTGGCGTCGACATCATCCTAGCGTGCAACGTTCTGTGACTCTTAAAAAAAACTGTAAAAACTGTGAGAAACGCTGGCAGCGAATGAGTTAAGTGACAGGGGGCCCTGAAACGGCTCATTCTGGAAGGTACTGAAAGTGTCAGGAATAAAACTGCACGCATCGCCTTATTGGAGAGGCCTTCTGAATTACGTTTTGTATCGACTATAAAACTACTATACCTTGAGAGAAAAAAAGTCATAATTTGTCCCCTTTTGTCTTTGTTTCTCCAAACGTATGTTGATCGAACAAGTAATTACAACAGGTGAGATATTAATAAGTCAGATTATTATCTTTAAAAATAAATAAAGAGGTTTGCAAGAAAAAGAGAACCTGCATGGCCCGTAAATGTCTGTGCACTTGCTTCATGTAAAGTAACATTACACCAGCACGTAAACAACTGGAGTGGGTACGCGGTGCCGTGTAACTGGAGGAGCTCCAGTGCAATTGTCCGCATGTTTCTGCAGCGTTTGACTCGTTTGGAGGCGCAGGGCACAGATGTCTGCTTTGGAAAAACAAAACCTGAACAGATGAATATGGCAGGAGACAGCAAAGCACATGCTGGTGGGAACAAGGCCACTTCTGCTGAGCACTAGTGACGTTTGTGGGAACCTCTCCAGAGTTTGACGATCTAAATAAGTGAAAACACAACTGGATTTTATGATCAAGAGGCACTTGAGGACATTCTTACCTTTTGATCAACTATGGAGCACACCAGGTCTTTGACAGCAGACAGTGAGAGGTCGCCAGACTCTAAGTTCACCGTCTCTCTGGTCAGGCCGATCTGCAGCAGGAAGGACACGCCATGGAAGGAGCTGCGGGAGTTGGTGGGACTGAGGGCGCTGGGGCTGCCGTTGGACAGCCGCTGGTAGATCTGTCCGGGCAGGCTTGGCAAATGGGCGGACGGCGAGGACGGGTGGTGCGGATGGAGAGAATGGAGGAATGGGGAAGAGGAGGCAGACATTGGGGTTTCTTCCAGTTGCAATGTGAAAGGCTGAATGGTGGAAGAGTTCAGTGAAGGCTTTTGCAGACAGAAACACTGCTCTTTCTCTCTCAGCAGACAAACCTCCTCATCAGCACTGTTTATTTTGCTGTATGCTATTTATCCTTCCCACCCACCTGGGCTCACACAACACATGCATTATTAACCGGATGGGCAGGTGATGGGGAACGACTCCGAGCAATCCACAGACATCTGCAGGAGGGTAACAACACACTTCATATCCTGGAGTTCCGCTGGTTCTCTTCGCTGAAGTCAGTAATCCAGTGTGACCACAGGAAGCCTGCCTCCACAAACACACATAAACACTATTATTTAATTATAAAACACAGAAAATCATCAAACGTGTGCATTTGATCCAGAAGCACGTGTTAATTGTAGTTTTAGCTGCATTTCTTTAGTTTTAAACTTCCATTTCACTCATTTTATAAAACTCGTTCAGGTTGAGTCAGTTGCCTCCTGACACTGAGGCTTACGGGAGAGTTCATTAATCAAATTCAAGCTTCGCGAACATCTGGAGCCAAGGCGTTCGAACATCTGCACCCCTCCCACCACCGATCGGAGAAAACGCCATCAAAACAAGTTACACAAGCGACGAATTTTGCACTTTCTGAGAGCTCTTTGTTGTCCGTGTTCCGAGTTTTTTAACGTCGACACGAGAGCGCCGCAGCGGGGAAACTTTTACCTCCACGTCCCGCGAAGAGCGCCTCTCCTTCCATCGCCGCCACGCAGCCCAAGGGGAAACTTTTCAACTCCATCAAATGAGAAAAGCCCAGAAGTTTTATGGTGTTTTGTTCGCTTGTTCAGGACGTAGCTGCGGTGAACGATACAACCACCACGTCGTCGCCTACATCTGACAAACACCAGCGGAAGTTATTGACTCGCTGAGAAAAACGCTGCGTCCCATTTCTGATCTTTTATTCCACATTGTAAATTCATGCGCATCTTATTATCCTTCCAGCTGTGACTGCTCCCCCGTGCCCCCCTCGTGCGTGACGAGTAAAAAAGAGAGGGAGGGAAGCGGTGCTTGCTGGGAATTGGAGTCTTTTTTCACTTCCGCACAAGCGACTTAGAGTGTGAGGAGGGAAAACTTGAACTACAGTTCATACGGAGTCATGGCGCTCCCGAGTCTGCAATAGTCACTGCGCATGCGTGTTTCTTTTCCGTTATTTCAACTTGTCTGTGCCAATTTAAAAAAATTCCACACGACCCGAATCGGTTTGGAACACGTTTTTAAACTTATATGAATTTAAACGATTAAATAAACTATGTTTGTGTGGTTTTAATTAATTAATGAAAGTTTTTATTTATTTAAAACGACTGTGATTTTAGTTATCGGGATGCATGTTGAACAACTTTTAAAATTATTCAATGAAAGAAAAGTGCAACGCAGGAAGGCCACTCCATCACTCTGTGTGTGTGTGTGTGTGTGTGTGTGTGTGTGTGTGTGTGTGTGTGTGTGTGTGTGTGTGTGTGTGTGTGTGTGTGTGTGTGTGTGTGTGTGTGTTGTCAAAATGGCACATTAGTCTGGCAGAGGAAAAAAGTGATATTAAGGCAGAACTAGACACAATGGATGCTGTAATGACATGTAAAAAAACACAATCATGACCAAAGCATATCAAAGACATTGATAAAAGTAAAAATATATATTTTTTCATGTACTTAGAGGTGCAGTATGTAGCAATATGGTGAGAATTTTACAGTGAGGAAATCCCAAAAGAGTCTAATGTTTCAGTCATTTTGGAAGGAAGGTTGTACTGATACATATTTCATATCCAGCAGGCTTTGGAGATTGTCAGTTTTTCTCCTTTCAAAACAAAGGAAGGAGGGACGTAGCTACTGTTTATCATCAGTGAGTGTGGGGGTGCTGAGTCTCCTGTGAGCTAATGCTGCAGCGCCGTCTATTGTAATTTGACAACAGCATGCAAAAAGCTCCAGAGTTGTTTAAAGTGGTTGCAATAACCAAATTTTACCACAGGATGTCATTTTTACTTCATACATAATGCACCTTAAATTGTACATTTATTTTCAATTCTGAACTGTTTTTTCATTGTGTCTTATATTAGTAAGCCTGCAGGTGACTAATTCTTACAGGAAATTGTTACGTTCAGGGTTAGATATTGTACTTATGTTGGATCGCTCTAATATAAATACATTATCTATTGGAAGGCATTTAGTTTACATTTTTACTCCTTTCTTTTAAACCATACTGTCTATGTGATTATTCATCTTGTTTTAATTGTGCAGCATTTTAGTCAGCTGTAACTGCTGTGTTCAAAGTGCTTAAATAAAATGGAATGGTACGGTAAGGTTACTAAAGCTTTATTGTGAATAGGAGTTATTTGAACATGTTTCTTCTGCCTTCATTTGTTATTTTAGAATGTAGTTAAAAATGTCACTTATCTTCAATTTTGCCCTATAATACATGTCATATAATTTGAAGTTTTCATTTGTTTGATTAAATAAGTTTATCAAATAAATCAACTATTGTGATCAAACATTTACTCATTTTGTTAAAAGCTATTGAAAGAAATTGTTTTTTTATTTATATTCGGTTTTCATTTTATTTATTTGAGTATTTACATTCATTGTGAAATCCAATAACAACATTTTTTATGTTTAAAACAAAACATAATCATTTTTAAACCATGTCTGTGTGTGTTTAACAGGGGAAAAGTTTAATTAGAAACTATAAACGTATTCCGGTAAAATGTTGTAACTAGCTAGCTGCTTGTGTTTCCTGCTTTGCCTCGTTGATTTAATTTTTTTGTACACAGATAATTAACATAGCTTGATATAAATGTATTAGTTTAGTAGTTTGCATAAGGGAAGACGTCCTGACTTTACCCTTATTTAATCTTATTTTAATCTGTTAACACTAATTTAAAACCCGTAGTAATTTTAAGAGGTGTGTTTTATTTTGAAAGAATCTACAGGAAATACTAATGAGTGATGTCTTGTTTAGCTTTATGAACGTTGCATGTAGTAACAAATTCGGTCCGCTAGAGGGCAAACAAGTCCCTAAACTCCAACGTGTTTCTCGTGTTTCCGTCCAGTTGACATGAATAATAAACATGCCTTTTCGACCAAGTAGTGGCCTTTAATCAAATCAAACAAAAGATTGCAAGTAATTCATTTAGACCAAAACAAACAGCAAAATAAAGAGTTGAATTTTTATTTTGTTACGTTTTATGTTATGTTAATTTGTTTATTAGATGCACTCGGACATGTATTGGTCTTTGAACTAAGACTTAATACTTTTATATCTGACTTTTTTTTCACAAACCTATAAATATGTGATGGTAAAATATTGTAATTAAGTATGTTTTTAATATGTTACCAATTATTTTACTTTTAAGATAAAAATCCTTTGAAGACTACCCTGAATTTATTGTCGCCTTTTTGCCACTTGAGGGCGTATGATTTGATATATCTGTTGTCCTGTTAGCTAGCTGCTAGTACTTTCTGCTTTAGCTCTTTGATTAATCTTCTTGAACACAGATAATGAACATATACTTTTTGAAGTTTATTGTTTAATAGGTTTGTTTATAAGTGACGATATTCTGGCTTTTGCGTTATTTAGGTTAACTATGCTGTTAACAATAATGTAAACCCCGTTGTAATTTTAAGTTGTGTTTTATTTTGAAGGAACCTACAGGAAATACTGATGAGTGATGTCTTGTTTAGCTTTATAAACGTTGCATGTAGTAACAAGTTTCGTCCGCTAGAGGGCGAACAAGTCCCCAACCTCCAACGTTTTCTCGTGTTTCCGTCCAGTTGACATGAATAATAAATATAAATGCCTTTTAGACAGAGTGTGTGGCCTTTAATCAAATCAAACGAAATATTACAAGTAATTAAATTAGAAATTAATTTAGACCAAAACAAACAGCCACATAAGGAGTTGTATTTTTATTTTGTTATGTTTTATGTTATATTAATTCCTTCATTAGATGCAGTCGGACATTGGTTTTTGAACTAAGACCCAGTACTTTTATATCTGAAATTTTTATTACAAACTTATAAACATGTGCTCGTAAAATGTTGTAATTAAATATATATTTTCATAAATTACCTATTAATTTATTTTTAAGATTAAAAATGCCTTAAAGTCCACCCTGAATTTAGTGTCACCTTTTTGCCACTAGAGGGCGTATGGTTTGCTTTGTCTGTAGTCCTGTTAGCTAGCTGCTAGTACTTCCTGCCTTAGCTCGTTGATTTAATCTTTTTGAACAGATAACTAACATATACTTATTGAAGTGTATTAGTTAAATAGTTTTTATAAGTGACGACATTCTGGCTTTCCTGTTATTTAGTTTAACTAAGCTGTTAACACTAATGTAAACGCCGTTGTAATTTTAAGTGGTTTTATTTTGAAGGAATCTACAGGAAACACCGAGTGATTTCTTGTTTAGCTTTGTGAACGTTGTATGTAGTAACAAGTCCCGTCCGCTAGAGGGCGAACAAGTTCCCAATCTCCAACGTTTTCTCGTGTTTCCATTCAGTTGACCTTAATAAATATAAATGCTTTTTAGACCGAGTATGTGGCCTTTAATCAAATCAAATGAGAGATTCCAAGTAATTAAATTACACTTAATTAAATATAGTCTTACCCTTTTTATTATTTTATTTAATATTTAAATAAGTGTATTTATTTTATCCTTTTTTTAATACTTATTTAAATTTACAACAACACTGAAGCTTTTTTTTTTAGTATGATTCCTATTCTGATATCCACAATGTACATTCTACCAAGGAAAAATGCTAAAACTGTCACTAGGAGTTGTTAGACATATTTAATTTTCCCCTTTCCTAGAGGCATTGTTGTGTTTTTTGTAAATATAATTTCATTTCATTTCATAATTCAAATGATAAGATAAATTTCATAGTGTGAGTGTTTTTATTATATATTACAATGACCTGCCACAAAATGACTCAAGCTCTTTATAATAAAAAAAACTGAAAAGGGACCTTATTTGATTTAACAATTATTACACTTCAGTATCAATCTGCAAATAAAAATAAAGAAGAATCAACAAGGTAAAAGCATGACTTTGTAGTTTATTAGCAGAAAATGACTGAAAACATTTTAGTACTGTGGAAACGTTGGGTCTACGTTCATCGCCCAAGCCATGAGACCTCCACAGATGTCCTTCACTGCGATACTTTCCACTTCTGATCCACTCATCTTCTCCAGAACCTGCACCGCCTTCTGGGAGTCATTCCCCAGTTTACAGATCACATAAACTGAGATGAAACCACAAAGAAACAAGAATCACATCTAGGAACATTTAAATGTTTAATCGTTTCTAAATCTGTGTTAATATCCAGGATGAAATGTCACTAAACTAACCCTCTGATTAAAGAAGCAGACCAGCTACTCAGGTCAATGCTAATTGTTTTGGAAAAAGGGGTCACCTAGCAACCCCATTAAAATCCGTCCAAAGTGGGATTCTGTTCCTGCAGCTTGAGGCCACACAAGAGGACCCTGAATATGTACACATGACTCAGCACGGGCGTTTGTTTCTAACATGAGACACAGATCATAAAACGGTGTCGTACCTGCTGGCTGGCCGTCACCTGCCATCTGCTGCTTCAGCTGGCTGATTCTCTCCTGCAGTAACCGGATATCCTCGCTCCGTCTCTCCTCTAAACCGGAGAGAGGAATATCTAGCAGCAACATAAGGAGAACATTTGCACAGAAATGGGAAGCAGGATGATTTTTTTTTACAACGCAGCGAATCAAAAAGGATACTGAGAGAGATGGGTAGGTGGCATATATCCACTTCCACAAGAGGGCGCACATCCAATAAGAGATGTGGCACCGAGGTGTCCACTATTGATTTATACTCCTGGAATTACACATTCATAACACACATCTACTGTTAACTGTTGATATTCATCTTTAGCAGAATTTTAAAAAAGAAACTACAGTTGAAACGTTCCTACATTTGGGATTTTTAACAACTTTCCTTGAAATCACAGGAAGTAAAACTGTTTCTAAGTGGTTGCACAATTACCACGGCACCTCAATCAATCATGATTCACATCTCTGAGCGGCATGACTCAGCGGGTTTGAAAGAGCCAATCCTGCAGAAGCACAAACGAGGAGCAATCCAGCAGCACGGCTCCCGGCTCCAAACAGAACCTGGAATTCTTTTCTACAGGCAGTTTTAGTCATTTCCTATTTGAGGTTGGGTCGGAGCGGAGATCTAATCAGATCATAAATGCACATAAAAACTGAGAAAATTGAGAGTAATCATAGAATAAACGGTGCTAAATACATAGATGCACGCACTGTTTAGGAGTACCTGGACTGAGATCCTCTGACCTTTGGACAGGAGGTTAAGTTTCCGGCACTGAAAAGAGAAAAAGAAAAAGCTTATGAGAAAAAAATCACACGACAAAGCAATATTCCTGAACAAATCTGACCTTATCCGTGGCAGCGGAACCGCAGAAAGCCTCATAGTCGACGAGTCGGGTCACACTGGGGTTGTCTCCGCACACCGCACAGTCGGCCTGCTTGGGCCGCAGCCGGATGGACCTGAATCTGAGATTCTGGGCGTCAAACATCAGCAGCTGCGGACTGCAGGAGGCTGGAATTCCCAGTCAAGTGAAAGTTTGTGGGGGAAAAAAAAGGGATTCTGACAATCGTCTCCCACTGGTGAAGCAAGAAAACGGCAACATGGAGTCCTGATGGGAAAACCAGAGCAGGACTAGCTGAGCGACGCATCGCAGCGGTGTTAAGGCAAGCGTGCTCTTTACCACAAGTCTGAATATTAGTGACAGAACACAGAAACGTGGAGTTGATGCACCCCGAATACCAGACGGAAGAACGGCGTGTGAGGCGGAGATGAGAGAATAAAGGATACAGCTCAGTCCAGAGGCCAATTTCAGGACCTCTAGAGCCTGGAAGCAGCCCATCACACCTGGAACTTAAGCAGAAGTGGGACTATTTACAGAAAAGTATCATTTACACACAAAAAAACACGAGTTTTGTAAAAATACATGAACTAAACTCACCCACTCCCAACACCCCTCCATCAGAACAGTTTGTCACCGTCTCTGGTGGAGGAGGAACGGGGTACAGACATCTGTAGCATGGTCCTCCTTGATAGTTATACACTGTCAACTACAAAACATTTCAAAAAGGTGTTAAATCTTATTAAAATGATCACACTGACGCGGAAAAGAGGTGGAGTGCCATCATACCTGCCCCTCTAGTCGTAAGGCACTGGCTGACACCAGAGGCTTGCCACTCAGCACACAGGCGTCATTCACCAAGTAACGAGAGGGAACGTTGTCAGAACAATCAGCCACAATGTCGTATATGAGGTCAGAAAGGTCAAGGAGTTCTCACGGTGTATTAATATAATAAACGTTTAGAGATTCCTGCAGGAAAAGGCTTTTGGTGCAACGCAAGCCTGAAAAAGGTTACTGCTGAATGAGCTGCAAGGCGTTCTCTGGCGTGAGCTGCAGGTGGTAAGGAATACACTCCACAGTGGAATTTAGCCTGCAGACACACACCCAGAGGTTACACAGGTCAGTGTTGACCCCAGCCATCTTAAAACGCCACCACCGTCTACACCGTAAGCGATCAGAACAGAAAATAAAAGCTTTAGTCTTCTGTTAATTGGAGAAATGTCGCCCCCATGTGGCTGCAGCGGAGCTACATGCACCACAGCAAACTCCCTGTTCAAACGGAGAGGCCGTCTCTGAAATAACATGTTTACACAGAATCTGTGGGCTGCGGGGGGGAAGGGGGACGCTAAACCAGATATAGCCTGTGGTGAGACTGGAAAACAGAAAAAGTAACCCAAAGTTACCAAAGAGTAACACGAAGGGTGAAAACACACTCATTGCCATAGTTAAAGCAGAGAAGGATGATGAATTTACCTTTTGACTGACCCAGCAGCAGACAGAGCCTTGGCCTGGCCCTGGTTCTCCTCCCCATGAAGCACCTGTCTGTGCAGGTTACTGAGCTCCACCTCGTCATAGTCTAACAAACCAAGTCGCCCTGGAGGGGAAAAATACAATCCGTGTTAATCCGATCATCACATAGTAAGACCATCAAGTGGGTCGCATTTACCGTAGTTTGAAATAGGGTCCGGCTCATTCCACAGGTTGTAAAAGAATAAATGACTTAAATCACACGAGGCTCTGAAATTTAAGACTTTAACGAATCAGAAAGAGGTTGTAAAACCTCTGTAGACATCATATTAGGTCAGACCAGCGTTGCTACCTACCAATGCCTGCTGCTGCCAGATACTGAGCCAGGGGGCAGCCCAGTCCTCCACAGCCCACGATCAGCACCGATGTCTTGGCTAAGTTCAGCTGACCTGTTGAGATCTGGGTTAGATCGTCATAAAAGTCACCTGACAGAATGATTTCTGCGGTAAAGTAACTCTGAGAGGTTTTATACCTTTCACGCCGAGCTCAGGCAGGAGGAGCTGTCTGCTGTATCGCATGATGTCCTCGTTGCTGAGTGCCGTTTTGACTGTCAGGGGTCTGATTGGTGTCACTTTGTCATGTAGCTTCAGGACTGAGGCGTGACCCTAACATCAAACCATGACTAAATGAATACACAGCACCAAAACTGTCTACTTGTAACATTAAAGACGTTCATCTCTCGATAGTTTGCAGAATGTTAATGTAAATGTGTTTGAGTTGTAAAACATAATCTGAGTATTTCAATAATAAATAAAGCTTATGTGTGAAAGTAGCAAATCAATTCAAGCACGTGACAAATAGTGAAGGACGTTGACCAATCCTCACACAGTATTATTATTTATAAATAACTAGTGAGGCTGAATAAGGTGGAGATCATTTTAACCATGACTGGTGTTACAGATTAATGTCTTCATGCATTTTCCATCAATTTATTATATGTGTGTTGAGAAAAAAAACTGCTGAAAATACTTGTGTGCTTATATGGGCGTCTATCTACTAAGGTGTACAACACGTACAGGGAGTGCAGAATTATTAGGCAAATGAGTATTTTGTCCACATCATCCTCTTCATGCATGTTGTCTTACTCCAAGCTGTATAGGCTCGAAAGCCTACAACCAGTTAAGCATATTAGGTGATGTGCATCTCTGTGATGAGAAGGGGTGTGGTCTAATGACAACACCCTATATCAGGTGTGCATAATTATTAGGTAACTTCCTTTCCTTTGGCAAAATGGGTCAAAAGAAGGACTTGACAGGCTCAGAAAAGTCAAAAATGGTGAGATATCTTTCAGAAGGATGCAGCAGTCTTAAAATTGCAAAGCTTCTGAAGCGTGATCATCGAACAATCAAGCGTTTCATTCAAAATAGTCAACAGAGTCGCAAGAAGCGTGTGGACAAACCAAAGTGCAAAATAACCATGAACTGAGAAAAGTCAAGCGTGCAGCTGCCAAGATGCCACTTGCCACCAGTTTGGCCATATTTCAGAGCTGCAACATCACTGGAGTGCCCAAAAGCACAAGGTGTGCAATACTCAGAGACACGGCCAAGGTAAGAAAGGCTGAAAGACGACCACCACTGAACAAGACACACAAGCTGAAACGTCAAGACTGGGCCAAGAAATATCTCAAGACTGATTATTCTAAGGTTTTATGGACTGATGAAATGAGAGTGAGTCTTGATGGACCAGATGTATGGGCCCGTGGCTGGATTGGTAAAGGGCAGAGAGCTCCAGTCCGACTCAGACGCCAGCAAGGTGGAGGTGGAGTACTGGTTTGGGCTGGTATCATCAAAGATGAGCTTTTGGAGCCTTTTCGGGTTGAGGATGGAGTCAAGCTCAACTCCCAGTCCTACTGCCAGTTTCTGGAAGACACCTTCAAGCAGTGGTACAGGAAGAAGTCTGCATCCTTCAAGAAAAACATGATTTTCATGCAGGACAATGCTCCATCACACGCGTCCAAGTACTCCACAGCGTGGCTGGCAAGAAAGGGTATAAAATATACCCTAACAACATGGCCTCCTTGTTCACCTGATCCGAACCCCATTGAGAACCTGTGGTCCATCATCAAATGTGAGATTTACAAGGAGGGAAAACGGTACACCTCTCTGAACCGTGTCTGGGAGGCTGTGGTTGCTGCTGCACGCAATGTTGATGGTGAACAGATCAGAACACTGACAGAATCCATGGATGGCAGGCTTTTGAGTGTCCTTGCAAAGAAGGGTGGCTATATTGGTTGCTGATTTGTTTTTGTATTGTTTTTGAATGTCAGAAATGTATATTTGGGAATGTGGAGATGTTATATTGGTTTCACTGGTAAAAATAAATAATTGAAATGGGTATATATTTGTTTTTGTTAAGTTGCCTAATAATTATGCACAGTAATAGTCACCTGCACACACAGATATCTCCCTAAAATAGCTACAACTAAAAACTACTTCCAAAAACATTCAGCTTTGAAATTAATGAGTTTTTTAGGTTCATTGAGAACATGGTTGTTCAATAGTAAAATTATTCCGCAAAAGTACAACTTGCCTAATAATTCTGCACTCATTGTATTTTTGCTTTTAAAATAACATTTAATGAGAAAATGATCACTTTGCGAGATTATTAAGATACGTTAAAGTCAAATATGAAGGTAAATGGGCAGGGATACTACCAGAAAATAGCTTTCTATAGTGTACTAAAATATATACTGTAAGGCAAAACAGTAAAAAAAAAATCTAATGTAACCTTTACTTATAAATCTGACGTCTTTTCGGACAACCATATCATTAAAATTACGGGTATGTGAGTTACGCACACCTTCAAAAAATAATCTCAAATCATCTATTTTACTTCCACTTTTACTACCTGTTCCAGCTGTGCCAGTTTATTTTTTAGAGCAGAAATCTCCTCTTCTTTGTCTTTGAGCAAAGCCTTTAAACTGCAGACTTCCTGGTCCATCGCTTCCAAGAAGCATGAAGAAAACACCCAGAAAAGGTTTAGATATACCTTAAAAACTGAAACAATATACAAAAATGCGTGTAAAGTCGCTGTAAATAACAGTGTAGCCTACTGTGCAGTGAAAAACTTCCGTATTGCCCACGTGGTATTACGACGACGTGCTGACGTAGTAAGAATTTTCTTGAAAATAAATGGATACATTAGATTATCAAACGTTTTATTTGACTGGAATTGGTTTCTATATGCATTTTTCGTTAGCAAATAAAAAAAACTAAAACATAACTGCGCAATCGCACTTCAAGAGAAATTAATGTGTTACGTTGAAACGGGACTCTGTCGGAAACGGTTTTCCTACTAGCTTTGTTCCGTTTTGCTTTAGACATTTGTTGTTTTATGCTACGTTATTTATTAGATTGCATCTCAGTAAATACAATAATTTATGTTTTATTCTTTGTCATTTTGTCTGTTTTAGCAGGAATGAAACATCGCCATTTGCGTACTTGCCTGAACTTGTCTGCTCACGTACCTCTTCTCAAATCGGAAAATAAAACACACTTTTACGTAGCTACAAATAAGTTTATAATTATATGTTAATAACACACTCATCTACGTCTTTTCTGTTGTCATAAATTAATATTTGTACAATTTAATATCTGGGTGTTGAACTAGAAACATAAAACATCATGTTAGTGTCCTTTTTGACGGGGACATGTTTCGATGCAACACAATGTGATGTTTGTGGTAAATATTGAAGAATATTGAACAGTTGTGTTGTTAATATGATTTGTTTGCCTTTTACCGGCTCTAAGTAGTTTTTGTAATTTAATGATTACATTGTTTGTTATCATCTTTTGTCATTATATGTGTTATTTCTATTGTTGTTGTGTTATTAGTACGTTATCTATTATTACATTTATACAAATTATTTTTACTTTATTTTATGCTGTATTTAGATACTTTCTTGTAACAACAATGGCTGCTCCAATTTAACAATCAGAGAGAGATGCAACAAAGATGTGCTTGCGTTGCTCATATCAGTTACCATTTGCATTGATGTCACATGTTTTTCCTAGTGATATTATCACATTATTTATTATTACATTTATACAGTTTACTTTTTCATTATTTTTTTGTGTTGTATTTCCACGTTTTCTTTAAAAGATAGGCTCAAAGTAACATCATTAGAATAATAAATACATTCAACTGGTCTCCACTTAACAGCAGGCTTCAGTGACGTGGTGCTGAAAGCCTCGGGCACTCCCTCCTGCCTTCCACATGATCTGAAAGCTCCCTCTGAGGAGAGACGGAGGAATGTGGAAAGGAGGGACAACATCGATGTCTTGGCTCTCCACAATGCCTTCTTTTTACTCTGTAATAATCGGTGTGACATTCATCTTCCACACTAATGGGATCCCATGGACGGAAGAAAAGGTAAATCAATTAACTGATTCGTTTCCCCTTTTGTGCTAGGATACGGGGGTTATTATGAGGCTGTTTGATGGTTAATTATGAAAGAAAGAAAAATGCAAAAATAGAAAAACCTGACATTTGTAAATATTTGAACCATTATTGTAATTTTAACTGCCTCATTTCAACACTTTTTATAACATGTATAATAATATTTTAAAAACGTAAAACACAGTATTTACTATATTTAATAGAAAATTACAGCTTTCAGTTGAGATGCACCTGAATGTGTCAGCCCGTTTGTGTTCCTCACCAGTGTTGTTCTCTTCACCCCCTTATCTGGTTGCCATGGCAGCACATTCATCATCCCTGATCCTCCAATTGTAGGTCTCTGTATTTATAGACCCTGTTTTAACCCTCCGAGCCCCAGCTGTGTGTTTGGTCATCGACCACATAATTATACCTTCCACGGCTGTGTGCCACTGCTCTGTCATTACAGAACAGATGTGATTCAGGCAGCGCGGGTCCTGCTTGGAGCAGGTTTTGCATGTCACTGTTTGTGAAAAAGAAAAATGTGCTCAGACTTCTTTGTCACTGAACAATGAAAACATAATAATTTCCTCATAAAAGATTTAATCAGTTGTTCTGGAAGCATTTATGGTCTGAGGAGTGGATTATTCTTTCAACGCTTATTTTAATTTAGTAATTTAAAATAAAAGAAACTAATCTGAAACAGCTAGTTTTAGAGTTTGAGTCTGGTTTAAAAAGTAGCAAGCTGAAAAAATGAATTTTAGGCTGAATTCAATGGATTTGGTTACTGGGTTCAGGAAAAAATGCAGAAGTGCAGAGCAGAGACGACTGGCTTGGACGGGTCCTTCATCATGTTTGTCTCCCTCTTTGTTGCCAGGACAACCGTGCTTCTCAGCAGGTGGACTTTGGGACCAAAAGAAAATGATGCAATGACGGATCAGTTTTCTGTTTAAGTGCTATCGGCTAAATGAATTGCTCAAACAAGCTATTTGAGGAAATAAATATAATAAACAAAAAGATTTTCTGCATTTCTGGATTCACTTTTTCGTTATTTTTGTGTATTTCCAATATTTTCAACATCTCCTCACACAGCTGCGATTGGCTCTCAGGAGGTGATTTTACCACCTCATCAAGAGGACGTCAACACGTGCCATTTCTTTGTGATTTTACAGTTTAGGATTGTGTCAAAAGAGGAATTAGATCAACACTAAATCTGATAAATACCGTGTTAAATGTCGTTTCTGGCAATTCATGAGGAAGCACTGACCACAGTGAGTCACTAACATCAGCAGTTTCTGTTGCACAACCTAAAGACTTCATCTCCTTGTGAGTTAGGATGTGAAACCGTGACTCGGCAGACAATAATACTCCTGCAGACTTCTTCATTTCTGCTTAAGAGTTCACTAATCCATCATTTTGTCTTTTTGTGGCCTCCTGTCTAGCTCCAACACAGAGCTGTCACACTAACAGAAGATGAGATCCGTGCTGCTCTGTCTCACACGGATCTGGAGCAAATGTGGCAGCGCGACCTGAGACCCCTGTTGGTTACCAGATACCCGGGGTCTGCAGGCAACCAGGCTGTACAGAATGTAAGTTTATCACTCACACACTTATTCATAGTGCATTACGTTTATTACTAACAACAATATTTTGTCTAATGGGATGGAAATTTTTGCAAAAAAAAGGACAAAACAAAAACAATTCGACAGGATTTCCTTTCACAAAATCTGTTTTAATTCATTTAAAAGTGCAAGTTGACAGCAGCAGTTTATGTGTTTTAGGTGGAGAGTCTGATTCAGAATTTCTGGAATGCTTGAAAAATATTTGATAACTAAAAGATTCAGACCCTGCAGAAGCAATCAGAAACCTTCAGGGAACTTCGTTTTGTTCACAATAGAGATGATGCTGGAATGAGATGCAGCTGGAGGATTTGCTGAAGAGGGGCATGTGTGATAAAGATGATAAACAAACGAGGAAAAGTTCTTCATAAATGAGTCGCGAGTTAATTCAATTCAATTCAAGTTTATTTATATAGCGCCAAATCACGACAAGAGTCGTCTCAAGGCACTTCACATAATAAACATTCCAATTCAGGTCAGTTCATTAAGCCAATCAGAAATAATGTTTCCTATATAAGGAACCCAGCAAATTGCATCAAGTCACTGACTAGTGTCAGTGACTATACAGCAATCCTCATACTAAGCAAGCATAAAGTGACAGTGGAGAGGAAAACTCCCTTTTAACAGGAAGAAACCTCCAGAGAATCCTGGCTCAGTATAAGCAGCCATCCTCCATGACTCACTGGGGATCGAGAAGACAGAGCAGACACACACACACACACACACACACACACACACACACACACACACACACACACACACACACACACACACACACACACACACACACACACACACACACACACACACACACACACACACACACGCACGCACGCACGCACGCACGCACGCACGCACGCACGCACGCACACACACAGTTATGTGAATGAATATGAATGAGTTAACTAACTGCTAGGAAGGAAAGGTCATCTCCATATAATTACAGGGTGAATCCAAGCTTGTCTCAGAAACGTAAAAAGTCAAGAAGCTCCATCAATAATAGTTTTTTTTAACAATGTGACATTTTGCATAATAGTAAAATATAATTTGCTGGTTTAATTTGTGAGAAAGAATGTGTTTTGTTCCTAGCTAGAAACCTTTGTGCAACTTCTCCCTGTGCACGTGTGGTTCTCCTCTCACAAACCAAAAACATGCATTTTAGATTCATTTGGCCCAAAGGTGAGTTTGTGTGAATACTTGTCTCCATGTGTGATCCTGTGATGGTGTACTTCACCCTGCACAGTGGATGCATTTTTCTGGTTTGAGCTCAAAGACATGTAGTTAAGAGCCAAAGAATCACTCTAAAACTTTATTTTATTTTATTTTATTATTATTATTTTTTGCGTTATGTGTCCCCAGCATATAAAAACAACCCTTGGTTCCCTTGGAGCAGGATGGGAAGTGATGGAGGACAAGTTTGTGTCACAGACGCCGTACGGCCAGCTCCCTTTCACCAACCTGATCGCCACACTGGACCCATCAGCAAAGCGCCGCCTAGTTCTGGCCTGTCACTTTGACTCCAAGTACTACCCGCCTCAGTGGCATGGAAGAGAGTTCCAGGGTGCTACGGACTCGGCTGTTCCTTGTGCTATGATGCTGGAGCTGGCACGAGCGCTGGATGAAGAGCTGAAGGCTCAGAAGGTAGCTAAGATATGTCTGGTGTATTTTTCTCTTTGTGGCCTACACGTTGTTATTATTAAATTCTAACATTAAAAAAACACTTTGTGCAAGCGGTGTGGGTTCTTCACAAGTTTCCATGAGCATCAAGGATAGAAAATGTTTTTAAAAGTAATTTTAGATGATTTATGATGTATTTTATGTTGTAAAATCCGAGGGAAAAGAATTAAACTAACAAAAACCGTAGATTTTTATTTCAATGTTTTCAAAGTCTGCTTTTGCCTTTTTCGGATTTTAAGTTTTAGAAAATATCTAAAACCTCTTTAGTTCAATGTGACCTCGTGACCACTAGATGGCAGTAAATCTATTAAAAATGGAAGAGATTGAAGTTTCTTTCCAACTCCTCATGTAGGACTCCAGCCCCGACCTGACCCTGCAGATGCTCTTTTTCGATGGAGAAGAGGCACTTTTCCAGTGGACCCCCACAGACTCCCTGTACGGCTCTCGCCACCTAGCCAAAAAGATGGAGGCCACGCCACATCCTGCAGAAGCAACAAACACCAACCAGCTGCAAGGCATAGTATGCAGCAGTTCTCTGCATCTTTCATTGTTCACGGATGAACATTTTCATTAAACACCAATTAAAACCATTAATTTTCCCACTACATTACTATTTATTTTTTTCACATTTTGTATTTTTTTCTGCATCCTAACTGTCATTTCAGACATTCCTTTGCAGAGACAGAGGTAAAACTGCATCTTCTTGAAGTTGTGTGTGTGTGTTTCTGTCTGGCTTACCTTGTGCGTGATAATGTTTGGAACATCTGTGCATCAGGAAACATCTCTGCAGCGTTCACTCCTTCTCTTTTCTCCTAACATCTATGATTGCTTACATTCAGGTTTTCGTAGAGCTCATTCTACTGAAACAGCTCTTCTTAGGGTCTCTAATGACCTTCTGACTCACAGTGATGCAGGGGACTGTTCTGTTCTGGTCCTGTTGGACCTGACTGCAGCCTTTGACACTGTTGACCATCACCTGCTACTGGAGAGGCTGAGAGACTGGGTAGGCCTATCAGGATCTGCTCTGGAGTGGTTCTCCTCTTATCTCTCTGAGCGCTCCTTCTCTGTGGCCGTCTCCAAGTTTAGGTTCTCCACCACCTCCTTTACCCATGGTGTCCCACAAGGTTCTGTGCTGGGGCCTCTGCTCTTCCTCCTCTATCTGCTCCCTCTTCAGCACATCCTGAGCTCCTTCAAAGGAATCTCCTACCATCTTTATGCAGATGACATCCAACTGTACATCTCCTTTAAGCCCCATGAGATGTCTAAGCTGCAGCTGTTACACACCTACTTAGACTCTATCAAAACCTGGATGGCTGGGAGCTTTCTACAGCTGAATGAAGATAAGACTGAGATCCTCATCTGTGCCCCAGACAAGCTGGTTCCCAAAGTCAGAGACTCTCTTGGTCAGCTTGCTTCTCACACCAAACCTTCCGTCAGGAATCTTGGCGTGACCTTTGACCCAGCTCTCACCCTGGATTCTCATGTCAGTTCTCTTGTTCGCTCTTCCTTCTTCCATCTCAGGAACATTGCTAAGCTGAGTCCCATTCTGTCCCGCTCTGAACTTGAGACAGTTCTCCACACCTTCATCTCCTCACACTCAGACTACTGTAACTCTCTTTTCACGTGTCTGAGCAGAACCTCCCTGAACCGTCTACAGGTGGTTCAGAACGCCTTTGCTCGGCTTCTGACCAAGTCCTCCAAACACGCCCACATCACCCTGCTTCTCCTCCAGCTTCATTGGCTGTCAGTCAACTTCAGGGTTCATTTCAAGATGCTGGTTCTGGTCTATAGGGCCTTACATGGACAAGCACCATATTACATTGGTGATCTTCTTACCCCAAAATTCCACTACGAACTCCGCAGCAAAAACGATCCCGTTGTAGTCAATCAGAGCTGTTCCACTACTGCGGCCGTGCGGCGCAGTGCGCCACCCGCCGTTCCGCCATCTGGCAAAAATAGGATCGATTCTATTTTTGCCGGATGCCGGATCACCTCCGCAGTCAATGGACAGGAATCACAACCGCCCAACAGGAAATGGAACAAGCACAGCTTCCGTTATTTCACAATAAATCGATAAACAAAAAGCGTTTTTTGTTTCATATGCACAGGTTTAACAACTTTTAACAACTATCAATGGCGGCTGAACTTTAAATGCACAAAAATAAGCCACAAATACAGTTTCCACTATCAAAGTAGTCACACTTTGTTGATCCAAACACTGCTGATCTCTCAACACAAATGATGGGCAGATTAAACAGTTCATTTCGATGCTTCTACCACACGACGGGTGTTTGGATCTAACTTCTGCGTTTATTGCTCGGACTGTATCGCAAGATCTCGAAAATCTCGCGCATGCCTGTTGGCGCACCTCAGGTCTCCACATCGGAGCGGAACCGTTGTAGAGCGGGTACTGTATAATTTGAGTTCGGAAGCGAGTGGCAGCGGAGGGCGGGAGCGGAGCGGAGATAGTGGAATTTTGGGGTTAGTCCCTACACCCCCAGCAGGTCCCTGAGGTCCAGTGATCAAAGCCTACTGGTTGTGCAGCACCAGGCTAAAGACCAAAGGTGACAGTTCATCTGCTGCTGTGGCCCCCAGACTCTGGAACTCTCTCCCCCTGAGCCTGAGATCAGTGGACTCAGTGGTCTCCTTTAAAAAGCAGCTGAAGACTCACTTGTTCAAGCTGGCTTTTGGATGACCTTCTTCACCACTCTCTCCTTATTCTGCTCTCCCCACCTATTCCACCTTCCTCAGGATCCACTGATTTCCCTCTTTTCTATTCACTCTCTCTCTTTCTTAACATTTTTTTAAATCACAACTGTCGATTTTTTTTTGCTCATTTTAAACATATTTTTAACCATTTTCTAAATTCTTTTTTATATTTTTACGTCTTTTGTTTTTGTGAAGCGCCTCATGATTTTTATCTTGAGAGGCGCGATAGAAATGATATTTTCTTCTTCTTCCTCCAGGACTTGTTTGTGTTGATGGACCTCATCGGGGCCCCAAGTCCCACATTTGGCAGCCAATTCCAAGACACTTCATCTTGGTTCACCAGGCTGCAGAGCATTGGTAAAACAGCATCCCAACGTTAAACATTTTGTGAAATGCTTTAAATTTGTTGTTGTTATGAGTCACGGTGTAGCCACAGCAGTCCTGCAGCAGTTTCATCTTTTAATTTCTTCAACTTATACCTGTTCTTATTTAACTCTGGATTAAATCTTTGAACTTTGAACTTTAGTTATTTGTTTTAGGACATTTGTCAGTAATGGTTTATTTCATTTGAAACTATTAAAAATGTAATTCGTATGAGGACCAACTAATCTGAAATTACTAAGAAAAAGAAATTAATAAATAAAATCACACCAAATAAAAACAGTTGAAATTGAATAATAATAATAATGAGAATCAAGGTTTTGAATTTGAAATGACATTTTTGGGATTGCTTTGCTGTTTCTGTCTGCTGATGAAATTGTGTCCACGGGGAGTTTAAACAAATTTTCTTTCCTTTCAATGGACTAACAGATGTATGTTTTATTTTTTTCTCCTTCATAAACTCAGAGAAGCGTCTACACTCCATGAACCAGCTTGCAGAACATCCTAACAGCGTGCAGTATTTCTGGCCAGATCGTCATGTGGGTCGTGTTATCGATGATCACGTACCATTCTTGAACAGAGGTACGCACCCTTATTTAACACAACAACCAGTTTAAAGGTGCAATAAGTAAGAATTTTACAGTGAAATATTCCCAAAACGTTTCAATGTTTCAGTCGTGTATGAAGGATGGTTACACCGAAACAGGCTGCGTGGAGGACAGTTTTTCCTCCATTTAAAAAGACCAAACAGAGACTTAGTCATTGGCCGTTTCTCAATACTCAAGGACGTTAGTACGTTCTTGTGTACTAGACAAGTATGTTCTTGGCAAGGACGCCAGAAAGTCCATTTTACCGAGGACGGCATTTGAAACAACTGTACTCTGTTGCGTCATGGCAACAAGCGCTGCTTGTTTCTAGCTAAGGTTGAATGACCTGATATGAAATTAAAAGTTTAGTTTGTTCCTTAAATATCAAAATAACAATTGAAACATCCATCCATCCATTGTCTGAACCTGCTTGTCCATGTAGGGTCGTGGGGGGGGGGGGGGGGGGGGGGGGGGGGGGGGCTGGTGCCTATCCCCAGTGGTCAATGGGCAATCAGGCAGGGTACACCCTCGACAGAGAACCAGTCCATCGCAGGGCAACACAGAGACACACAGGACAAACAATCATGCACACACACACACACACACACACACACACACACACACACACACACACACACACACACACACACACACACACACACCTAAGGACAATTTAGACAGACCAATCAACCTAACAGTCATGGTTTTGGACTGTGGGAGGAAGCCGGAGTACCCGGAGAGAACCCACGCATGCACAGGGAGAACATGCAATCTCCATACAGAAAGATCCCAGGCCGGGAAGCGAACCCAGGACCTTCTTGATGCAAGGCAACAGCTCTAACCACTGCGGCACTGCGCAGCCCCCAATTGAAACATATTATTTGTTTCATATTTGGTCCACTTTTGATCAAAACTGAGAAAATACCAGCATTTTCCGCAGTTAAAAATTCTTTTTTCATCAAAACAGAGATACTCTGCTTTTATTTTGAAAAGGGGTTAGCTAATTAGCATTTAGAGGAATCGTGAAACGTAAAACCCAAATACACACAACAAATGTTATAGGTTACACACAATTATTTACAATAACAGACTATTTAATATTCCTTTACTAGTATTTAAAACTCTACATTTATTAGATTTCTCTGCTGTTTAGAGTATTACAGTTGCGATGCAATGCATTGTGGGAAACTGCTGTCCCAAGTCCGCAAAAGGATGCATGGTTGCATCCTCGATACAATGGGTGGAGCAAGAACACATCTTTGAGCGAACTTTGTGTGAACTTGCCATGATGCATACTTAGGATAGGAACAGTCCTTGGGCCATCGTTGATGACGTTTCACAAGGACATGAGTACACAAGTACACACAAGTATGTATTTTGAGAAACGGTCATTGTTTACAATATGTCCATCCTCCATACTTCCTGGTTCTGAGCCAATCATACTGAGCCTGCAAAGTTGTCAAGTCTTCAAGACAAACACTGCACCAGCATTTGTAACTTGACACTGGCAAACAAAGAGCAGCAACGCTGTGAATAGAATGGAAGCCAGTAAAAGGAGCGACCCCGGAGTTATTTCTTGTAACACTAAAACATCAAATCAAATCAAAGCTTTATTTATAAAGCGCCTTCCGCGACCCTGTCGGGAAGCCCAAGGTGCTGAACACAGTTTATGTTTATGTATTTAGCAGACGCTTTTGTCCAAAGCAACTTACAAGTGATAATCGGCATATTGCCCTTGAGGCTAACAACAACAATAACAACAACAACATTGACATCAGTCATGGGGAGTAGGGAACAAGGAGTGGACAGTAGAGAGGGGGGACGGGTGCAGGCAAGGTGCTAGTTAAGAAGATGCTGTCTGAAGAGCAGGGTCTTCAGGAGTTTCTTGAAGATTGAAAAGGAAGCCGCAGTTCTGGTAGTGCTTGGAAGGTCATTCCACATTTGTGGAACGATGCATGAGCAGAGTCTGGATTGTCCTGAGCGTGGCGTAGGCACTGCTAGCCGACGATCCTGTGATGACCGGAGCGGCCGGGCCGAGACGTAAGCCTTTGCAAGAGGATTCTGGTAGATGGGAGCCGTACCATCTCGGACTTTGTATGCTAGTGTTAGCAATTTGAATTTGATGCGTGCTGCTCGCGGTAGCCAGTGGAGCTCAATGAACAGAGGGGTGACGTGTGCTCTTTTTGGCTGATTGAAGACCAGACGCGCCGCTGCGTTCTGGACCATTTGAAGAGGTCTCACAGTACAGGCTGGAAGACCAGTTAGAAGGGCATTGCAGTAATTGAGGCGGGAGATGACAGTAGATTGCACCAGGAGCTGGGTGGCATGTTGTGTTAGGTATGGTCTGATCTTTCGTATGTTATACAGCGCAAAGCGGCATGAACGAGCAACAGAGGCAACATGATCTTTAAAGGTCAGGTGTTCATCAATCACAACACCCAGATTTCGAACTGCCTTTGAAGGAGCCAGAGATAGGAAGTCATTTTGGATTGAGATATTGTGCTGTATGGATGGTTTTGCTGGGATGACAAGTAGTTCAGTTTTAGAAAGGTTGAGTTGGAGATGGTGGTATTTCATTCATTTTGATATGTCAGAGAGACAGTTTGATATTCGTGCAGAGACAGTGTGGCCGTCCGGTGGAAATGACAGATAAAGCTGGGTGTCGTCTGCATAGCAGTGGTAGGAGAAGCCATGTGATCGAATGATCTCACCCAGTGAGGTGGTGTATATGGCAAAGAGAAGAGGTCCTAGTACTGAGCCCTGGGGAACTCCTGTGGCAAGATGGTGCACGGTAGAGGATTGTCCAATCCAAGATACACTGGATGATCGTCCTGTGAGGTACGATTCAAACTAGGCGTGTGCTTTCTCTGTGATGCCCATGGTAGAGTGTGGACAAAAGGAAGCCATGGTTGACAGTGTCAAATGCTGCCGATAAGTCGAGCAGGATAAGCACTGAGGATTTGCCTGTCGCTCTGGCTTCTTTTAAGGATTCAGTCACTGCTAACAGAGCAGTCTCAATGGAGTGGCCCTTTTTGAACCCAGATTGGTAAGGGTCAAGCAGACAGTTTTGTGAGAGGTATTCTGTGATCTGCTTGAAAGCCACCCTTGTTGTCAGCCAAAGTTGTCAAGTCTTCAAGACAAACACTGCACCAGTATTTGTAACTTGACACTGGCAAACAAAGAGCAGCAACGCTGTGAATAGAATGGAAGCCAGTAAAAGGAGCGACCCCGGAGTTATTTCTTGTAACACTAAAAAATCAACTCAAAGCTTTATTTATAAAGCGCCTGTTGGGAAGCCCAAGGTGCTGAACACAGTACGTGAGAAGACACTGCATCTTTTTGTTTTACTCTAATATCTAATATTACTCTAATTAGAAAATAATAGTTGGCTTTAAAAATATCTTAAGCTACTTTTTCAATTACAAACAACTCAATATTACAGTGAAATACATTTATGTACTCATGAATTAGTGAGTGGCTGAAAGCAGACTCATGTTTTTAAACATGGACTATCACATTTGACCAGAAAATGTCATTCTTACGTCATGCACCTTAAAAGGGGACATATTATGTAAAACTCACTTTTTGCATCCTTTTGTGCACTGAACTGGCTCATTCTGGAAGGTAGTGAAAATGTCAGGTATTAAACTGATGATATTGCGTCATGTGAGAGCAATTTTATGAAAAGAACTTCATAAACATGTTTTGTTTCAATCGTAGGACAATTATAGCCATGCAAACGTACAATGTTGCTGCCTGTTGATGACCCTCAACCTCATTCTGCCCTTTAGGTGTCCGTGTCCTCCACCTTATCCCTTCTCCCTTTCCCTCTGTGTGGCACACGTTCGACGACAACGAAGAAAACCTGGACCGCACCGCAATTCAGAACCTCAACAAGATCCTGCAGGTTTTTGCTCTGGAGTACCTCAATGCCAGACCCGCGGTTCCCTCAGACCCACAAAATGCTCCTTAAAACTTTCTAATATATCTCATATATCGTTAATCACTGTAGAAGCTGAATGAAGACACAACGTCAGAGGTTTCCCCGCTCGGTCCAGGGAATACTTTACACCAGACATTTACTTTGAAACTATCTTGGACAAGAAGACTTTTATTTTTAAAGATGTTTTTCATTCCTGAAATCTTTTACTGTGATAGAATTGTTATTATGCTTCTCACTGAGGAAATGGTGGCCCACATGAGATGATGGTGGCAGGGGCGTGTCCAGGGGGTGGCCTGGGGTAGCACATCCCACCCTTTGAATCTGATTGGCCACCCCACTGAATTCCCAATAAATAGACTTGTCCACAAAACACTTGGGGTAAAAAAAAGCATAACCATTGGTGTCACCCATGCATAAAGAAGTGCACTACCTGGGCCACCCCATTTTAAAAGATCTGGGCACACCACTGGATGGTGGACAATATATTTTTCCCTGAAGCTTAAGATACTTCCTCTGTCCCTAATAATCTGTCCAGTGTTTATAACACACACAGAGAAGTCGATCACCTCCTGCGCTGACGTGCCCGCTTCTCTTTAAATCTGCTTTTAACTTCCAGAATCAGCCTAATCTGGAATCCTGTCTTCTGAGAACGAATAAATGTTTAAGCAGAAAATAAAAGACTGTTCAGCAGAATTTGGTCTTTTTTTTTTTTGAGCGGTGGTGTTTAGGGAAAAGTTTAAAGGTCCTCTCCAATGTGGTGATTTAAGGGGGTGTGGTCTGTTTCAGACCCTGACACTTGTTCTACTTCTTTCCATTTCATGCTTTCTCCATTGGATCTTTCCCATCCTTCTGCCTGACATCCACAGGGACCTCGTGATGCCTTTAATCCTATCGGGGGGGCTTCCCTGAATTCCACACCACTTAAATCCTCCTCACCTCTAACCGCTCCCTGGAAAACTGGAATAAAGGATTTGACCTTTTCTGCTACAAGCACTGGTGCCTGGCAACAAAATACTGTTTACCTTATCTCAAAACAGAGACAATGCATGTTGGAGAGCAGTTGTTCAGCTTTAATCAGCAGCTGATTACACTGAAGCTGATGCAGAGGTGGAGTGACGGGTGGGGCTGGGACTTTCTCTCATACAAGGTGTGCTTCAGCCTGTTTGGAAACAATGAGGACGCCAACAGGTTTACTGTATGTTATGAAAAAGATTCAACATCAAAAGTAGGGTTTAAAATGGAACAAATATCAACAATAAAAGCTTTCAACTGAAATTTTACTCAATTAAACAATGTACATATGTAAAGGAAGAGCATCTTTAGCTTTCCAGACTTTTTTTGGTCATTGTTTTTCAAACATTCAGTGTAATGTGGCCTTTATGTTTTCTGCTCCTAACATTGGCTGCCTGTTGCTGCAGTGTGGAACTGGTGGACTCCGAAATTACAGTTTCTGGCTTCTTTAGTCAAATAATATGACTTTATTGTGTAATCCACGAAATAAACGTGTATTTTATTTTTACACTTACAATGATATTTCCTAAAAACACCCAAAATATCATTTTCTACTAGTTTTTAATTTAGTAAAACTGGAAGTTCCTTATTTCTTCGAAGAGTTGTCTGAAAGTCAGTTTTGCCTGTACCAATGATTTATTATTATATTAATCATCCACGACTAAAAGACGTGTTGCTGCATACATTTCAAATTACCACTAGATGGCAGTAATAAATCACTTATACACGTGGTTTTTGTTTTGTTTTTACTTTTTTTTGGGGGGGGGGGGGTCAATTACTTCTTACGCTTAAGGTTTTACTGATTAAATTATTTTAAATGTTTTTTTTAGCCTCTGACCGCAAACATGGCAGTCTCTGAGATCTTTGAACCCAACTTTGACCTCCACAACTAAATGTAGCCAACAAGGCCATCAACATGTCTTTAACAACATATTCATTTTATTACTTTTGCCAACAGCTCTTATTTTATCTAACAAGTTCAGTGAGATATCCTTCAGCTGTCATTCTAAAAATCAATTATTAGTCCAAAGATCTTCCTGAGAGCACATATGTGGTGATTTCCAGCTCAATTTTGAGAACCACTGTTAAGAAAAAAAACAAAGAAAAGAAATTTAAATGGTTTGTTGCCTTTTGATAGGAATTATAGCCAAACCCGGGCAACATTGTTTACAATACACGCCTCACTTTTGATATGTAGGCGATAACTACATGGAAATTACCTACATCACATGCTGCGTTTCAGTGCTCTCTGTAAATCTGAACTCATTTTATTTTGAATATTTTTGCTTGAGGCCAGTCACGGAATGCAATTAGTACAAGTAATTTAGCAGTAGCTTAAAGTTTTTAAGTATTTAATGTTACTTAACACTTTAATTACTTTAAGTAAAGTACTTATATAAATAAAGTACTTTTTTCCTCAAGTAATTCAAGTTAAATGGAAAACTTCAGAACAATTATTTCTAAAGCTGTACTTTATTAAGTATTTTTCTTGAGGCCTACACGTTACTTTTACTCGGATAAATTATCTGTAGTCCTTCACTAAATGTTCTAAAAAGTTTCAAAAGTAAAAGTACTTCTGTTTGTGTTTTCTTTAATGACATCAAAACTGGCTCAGCTCCTTTTAACCTATGCAATCCATGTAACCCATGCTACAACACTTTTCTGCACCTAAAACACATATTTAAACACACATATGAACATGCATATCTACTTAAATACTTCTAATTAAGTAAAAACCAATTATTGGATACTTCCACTTTTTTTTACCCATTTATGTCTTTAGCCTGTTTTTTCTTGAGTAAAAAAAATCAAGCACTTCTTCCAGCATTGTTTAAATTCAAATGTGAACAATGAAGCACAGCACAGAAACAAAATCGTTTCAGAAAATGTGAATTAAATTTTATTTAATCAACATGTTGCTTGGATAAATATGATAATTGCTCAAAATTAGTCTTTTGTGGATCATTTAACTTCATGAGTCACGAAGTTTAAACTCTGCGTGAAATAAGAAGTCGCTCGGTTTATCAACGCTGGAAGACACTGAGGTTTCCCACAGTTTCCGGTGGCTCCTGAAGGCGGCGCGTGGGGACGTTGGTCTGAACTCCAGTCAGGCGTGATTGTTGAGTTTGTTTAGTGGGGAGAAGAGACGCCGAGGCGCTGAGTTGCGGTCGACAATGTCACACAAAAACAGTTAAAAGCTACGTTTATTTCCGTTTCGGCTCGTTTTTATTTAGTTTCTGACATTTGGACTGGAGCATGGAGCCGATAACGAGGTGGACGCCAAAACAAGTTGTGGACTGGATGAAAGGTGAGACTGAATTATTTAAATTCAAAGGTTAAATTGGTGTCGGTCGTGTTTTTATTCGCTTGTCCGCTCCTGAGAGAAGGCTTCCTCCAAGTTAGTTTCATAGAAACCGCTCCGGTGTGACAGCATGCCTTCACTCAGGCGCACAAAAGGAGCGCTGTCTCTTTATCTCTCTTATCATCTAGAAAACAAGTATAAAAAGTACAAACATGCTATGAACGAAGTGTAATAGCATTTGTTAGACATATCATAATCAGATTATCGTCTAATTGGGGGTTTATTGGTCAGAAATCCTAATTTAGGACACATTTATGCAGGAATTTCCAGATTCTTTTATATTTCTAAGTAGACACATTCAATTCGTCTTTCCTGGTTTTTTAATAAGAGCATATTAGCGGTCACGTCTGAAGAAGTTAAGGCTTCTTCTATTATTTCCTTTTAAAGTAAAATATTATTCTTCTCCCTAACCTCCATTCATATATCCATTCACTAAAAAGTGTGATTAACGTGTTTTTTATAATCCGTAACACCATAAACGCGATCAGAATAAATCTACTAAATTTTATTGAGTATCTTTCCAGAAAAAAAAGCCACACTTGTCTTGTTTCAGGCTCTGGGAGGAATGTTTGCTATGACAGTAACAACATTAATCCTTCACTTGGGTCACAGCACAAGTATGTCTAAGTGAGAGGTTAAATGGAATGTGAAGCATTGGTGGTGACAGTGACAGTGGTTCCAAATAGCTGGATTATTTATAAATGACTCATTGGCTTTTAAAGATGCTGATTTTAAAGTTCCTCCCTAAACTTCTCACAGCAAATCTGAGATGATTTCCATGTAAAAATGACATGCATGACTCAGATCAGATTGCTTTTTTCCTGACTGAAGCATGCCTATCAGTGGGAGTGTCCGCTGGGAGTTAAAGAAAAGGGATGGGGGTGGGTTTTGGATGGGTTATGGTCGATGTGTCATTTTGAAAGAGGCCCAGTCAGTGCATACATGGATTAACTATCTATACAAACCCTCCTGAAAATCTGACTCAGCAGTTTTATGTGCAGCTTGGTTTGCAGACCCTCTGCAAACAAGAGTGGAGAGGAAAATGTGGCTCGTGAGAACATTTCATCCTCCTCTTTCACATCCAAACATGGTGGTGCATGAACATGATGAGATGTTGCTTTTAAATCTAATTTTGGGGTTGTGCCTAAATACCAGCTTGTTGTGTTTATAGTAAACCAGGGAAAAAAAGGTTATTGGACTTTTGTTGTTACTCTTAAGATGGAACTGAAATTCTTTGAGGTTCGACTACACGATTGCTTTAGTTATAGGTGCTTTGTGTGGGTGTACACTTCAATTACTTTGCAAACAAGTAGGTCTGCTTAAAAGCTGCCAGAGGCACAAAACAAACAACTCCAAGTAAGAATACAAAACAAAGCACTACTTGTTGATGTCATTGGTGTCTTACTCTGGTTTTGCTCTCAAGGAAAGCTGAAGATTCAACCAGGGGGGAAACTGGCGAAAAGATCAAGTCATCACTAATGTTGTTTCACTGTAGAATGAAACAAAAATCAGATACACGTCTAACGCGGTTCACACGGTGCCTTTTTCAGCTGAAGGGTCTGCAAATTGTAGAGTGGTGGCACACACGGCCAAAGAACTGTACGACGTCGCTCTAAAGTTTGGGTCATACTGAATTTTTCACACATTCTAGATAAATCTTTTGTTGTGAACAGAATTGTGACAAAAACATTGAATGTGAAGGTGATCTGCAGCGCTGTGACTGGCCCGGTGATAGCTTATGGAGGACTCTCATCACCAAATCCAGCCCTCATCAGTCTTAATAATAGTAATAATAATAATAATCATCATCATCAAACTTATATAGCGCTTTATTAGGACACTCAAAGACACTTGTGTGAACTTTTACATTCACACACTGCTAGTGATGGTAAGCTACTTTGTAGTCACAGCCTCCCTGGGGCGGTCTGACAGAGGCGAGGCTGCCATTTGGCGCCGCCGGCCCCTCTGACCACCACCAACACAGGCAAGTTGGGTGAAGTGTCTTGCCCAAGGACACAACAGCAGAATACCTCTGGTGGGAGCTGGAATCGAACCCATGACCCTTCTATCATGAGGCAACCCACTCTACCAACTGAGCTACTGCTGCCCCAAGCAGTGCCTACGAATCTACGACTCTGGTCTGCAATCGACCAATGAAAATACACCTAGAGAGTGTCGCATGACACTAGGGACAAGTTTACAGCACGTAGTAGCATAGCATTAGCATCAATGAAAGTTACACACAAGAACATTTGGAGCACTTAGGGATGCACCGATATGATATTGGTATCGGTATCGGCACCGATACCAATACCAGTATCGGTAAAAGTTAACCGATACCAGGAACCGATACTAATGCAGTTGCTTGAAAATGGCTTCACTGTAACTTGTCATTTCTGTTCACCTAATATTTTAGTTTTGTGATGATTTCCATCCAGTAGATTTTCTGACACGGCTCAAAGGAGACCAGATTTGGTCTTGAACGTGTTCACTAACTTGCTGGTGAGTCCATCACTCTGGACGGCCACAGACCTGCCAATCGTGCTGTTGTTCGCTGTTTTTTGTCTCAACTCTATTCATAAAGAAAGGTTTGTACACAACAGCCAAAAAACACAGTGTGAAGTGGGCTTAAAGGGTCATACCCTCGTGTTGACCATTCACACCAGTGTCAAACGTGTGTTTGCCGAGTTTTGTGTCTAACAGTGGCTCCACATGAAGAATACCCCTCTGTTTGCCTCTGTAGGACAGCGGTGGCCCTTGTGTATTGGGGTAGCTGCTAATCACTTAGCATTGTTAAAAGAGATCAAGTGATTGTTGGTGGATGTTTATTGCCAGTGAAAGGGGGTTTGATTCTTTGAATTGAAACACTTGTTTTACGTTTGGGGACCACAGATGCCCTGAAGCAATTGTCCTTCACCACAAGCTCTGATCTTCCAGCTGGTCCTGTGGTGTAGTGTGATTGGTCTGCCATATGTCATGTGTTGGACTGCTTACCTCCAGGCACTTCGCTAAAGACGCCATATTTTCAGCAAATTTATTTTAGGAAGTGGCCCTCTTTTAAAACTAACACAGTTGCTCGATTTTACCAACACAACACATAAATTGTACAATTGGATAAAAGTGACTGACGAATAAATAAACATAAACACACTCCAAACTTTTCTTTTATTTCATGCGGTTGTGTTTGAGCTTTGTTCTGACTGCCAGATTTAACAAGGCATCCCAGACATGTAAACTTGCACAACTTCTGTTTCACTGGGTGGCTTTGTTCCAGTTTAACAAGCCAAAACACTGAATACCCCACAGGGTTTTTCGCTACTTGCGTACGAGCAAATTAAGCTGCAAAACCACATATTTGTTTCAGTGAAAGCTGGGTCTGGCGATTGTTTGAAAATAGGAGAAGATGAAGGTCAAACGGGGACATCCAGAACCTTCTTTTATAAAAAGTACATTTGAAAGACCAAGTTTTTGGAAGTGGCACTAGAGGTAGATCTGGATGCACAACAAAAGGTATTTAAATACAAAAACAGTAGCAGCAGCTAAGCGTCTCAGCTTGCACCCATGTGCCAAGGTGGTAATTAGATAGGTGGTAGACATGTGCTAAATGTCCCTTCCTCTTTGAACAAGTGGATGTCAGGACAAATCGGAGGATTGCGTCTTCACAAGCCGAGTGACCTCAGTGACAGATGCCTTATCTTTAGGGATGATGGCTAGGTGTGAGTGATGAAGGCCCGCAATTGTTATCTGCCTAAAACACAAACTTCCTAAACAGGAGTGTGAGCAGCAGACCTTGTGCAGACGCCTCATCCCTATTAGGCACCCGTTTTAACGCCTGCATGTGGAGTTCTCTGTTTGGAGATCCACCGCAGGCATCGTTAATCCGTTTCACAAAACCCCCATGGTTGTGCGTTTATGCTTCAGTCATCAGATTTTTCCATGTTTTGAATGAAAATAGGAAGTTTGTTAACCGGCATTTCATTGGAAATGACGTAACAAGCGCACCTTCATTTTAATTTAAAAGTTCTCGTCTTTGTTCCTTTCTTCCAGCTGTGCAGCATTTTTAATTCAGCTAACAGTGACTTGTCCAAAAAGTTGTGTTCAGCGTTAAAGAGGGAAGTGGTGTAAGTGACCTCCCCCGGGAGTCGTTTTGTCACTGCTAGTTCCTGTGCTGCCTGTTTCTCACACGGTTCAGTCATCCCAGCCTTAAAGCCTCAGGAGTTCAGACAGATGGGGACAAATTGTTAATGTGGCTGCTCCTATTTTAACTTTCAAGAGACAAAGGGGTGACAAAGCGTGCTTTAAATGCTTGTTTTGTTGTTTATTTTGACTTTCAGATCCTATTTCAAACAGCACCAACTGCAATGAGCAGTTGATCGATATCGGTTAGCATTTACATTGGTGCCAAACTGGTTTTCTCCCAGTGTGAGAACAGAAGACTTAAAGCGTCTCCGGGGATGAACCTGTTTTCTGCTCAGTCACATTGCAGATCTGCCAGGTGATCACAGCTGTTTGGCCTCAATCAGCCCAGAGCAATGGGCTAGTGTAGACAGCCAAACGAAGCCTCCAATCAGAGGTTAAATATTTAGTGTAGGAGGGGTTACAGTGGGATTAGGGTATGGTTGAGTCCTAAATTATACAAATGTGCTTGCAAAGCGATTTACAAGAGTGAGAAAAGAAGTGGGGATATCAGTCCTAGCTGGGCTGGTGGGTTTTAATGGGTTAAAACTCAAACACCTTCACCTGCTCGCCCTGCAGTGGGGGTGCAGCATGAAATCTGTACTTTTATAAAAAGTACTTAAGTTTTGGTTCTTTGCTGGCTACTTGGACAGATGCACATATCCGAACATGTACAGACACGTTTCCTCATGCAAGCCCAGTTCCTATTTATAGAGCCTATGGAATAGTGATGGGAATTCCGGCTGTTTTTAGAGAGCCGGCTCTTTCGG